AAGCTAAGAGTGATTTTTGTAACACAGAAAATGGGGACTTTCCTGTGGGCAGGAGAGGGTGGGCTGGTATTGACGGAGGAGCTGTCCCTGCCATGGGTCGCTCATGTTGCAGAGCAGTTGGTGAGCATCACATTTTTCAGGCAGGAGAGGTGAGGCTGAGGGTCTCCCTGCAGGTGCTGCTCCTGCCAGAGCCGAGGCCTCGCCATTTCTGCACAGGGTGCAGCAGATCCCATGGCTTGGGAACATGCCAAGGGACAACACGTCTGCCCTGCTCAAGGCTAGCAGGCAGGGATGTCCCTGAGGTCGTTCAAGGACGAGGTTCTGGAGCAGTTGCTAAGGGGCATGCATGGCCAGTGCGGCTGTGCGGCATGTTGGAGGGACAGGTAGGCATTGGTGTGGGATACAGCTCAGCAGCAACCTCAGCCTTTTTAAAAGGACCAAAGTACACCACAGTGCCTGTGGGGTGACACATCAACCAGATGTTTCCTCCTGTGGGGGTATGAGAAGGGTTTGTGTACACAGTTTCTCAAGCTATAATATCTTCCCCCTTCTAGAAGGCAGGACCCAATGCTGTGGTGCTCTATCCAGTGTCAACAGTCCCCTGGTTGTCCCATGTTGGCAAGAGGAGCTGCAGCAGATATTTTGGCACACATGGACAGTCTCTGCACTCACTAAGGGCTTTCTTCCATTTGGGTATGCTGCAATGCTGTTCTTGGTGTCTAAGAAGGTGGAAGCACCTACCAGAGTCTCTCCTGCTGCTGGACCTTGAGGCTCTGAGGTGTGGATTCTCAAATGTCTGCTAAAGGCTGCAGCACCTCCTGCACTGGGAGCACAAAGAGGGTCTCACTTCCCCATGTGCTGCATGTTTTCACAAAACCAAGCACCTCTGAGGTCTTAACCCTTCTGTCAAGTGTGGCTGAAATTACAAGTGAGCCCCATAATTGTCCAAGGCAGGACAAACAAGAGGAGGCAGCGTGATTTCACAAATCTTTTCTAAAAGATACCTCCCAAGGAGCATAAAGGGAACAAATATCTTGTACTACGTTGAATAACCTTCAGAGTGATGTCAGGCTGTGCTTTGGAGGACACGGACATTCCATGAGCTTGGATCTGAAAAAGGCAAGTGCTTAGACCCATCTCAAGTCTTTCTGTTCCTCTCTTTGTTACCCTAGTCTGGAGGCCCAGCTGTTCCCCCTCCTCTGTCCTCAGCAGAGGGATTTTCCATATGCTGGAACTTTTCTGCTAGGCCCTTTTGCACCTGCCAGAAGCTCCTCTTCAGGCTGATGCTTTGTGAGCAAATCCTGGCTGTGGCTGTCACACCTGTGGTTCAATCAATGATCTTTCACCATCCACCTGCAGAGACCTCCAGCATTTGGGACAGGCAACTATCACCCCACAAGTTCCCGATGGGGCAGTATGGCTGCTGGCTGCCTTGGAAATGCTCAGAAGCACTTGGCGTCCTGGACTGGGCTTCAGAGGAAAGGCTTAACTGGCTTCTCAGCTCATCCAGGAACACCCTTGACCTTTGTTTAATTGCTTCAGTGACAGCAGGCACACAGAAAAGAACATCCTTGACAACCTCCCAGGGTCCTTGATAATCCTAAAGTGATTGAAAGCAGGGGTGGAAGAGGGCTTGTAGGCCTCCATTAGAGCAGAGCTGCTGCTGCAGGCATGCTGGAGCCCCTGCTCCTGCCAGCTGTGCCTGGGGGCTGTGGACATGCTGGCTTAGGGGAAGCTGGGGGCACCAAGGAGGCTGGGAGAGATGGTGGCATCCTTTAAGGTCTTGTCAGGGGAGAAAAGCACCTGGACAAGAGAAAGAAATTCTTGCAAGAGGAAACGTAAACGGCACTTACACCTGGCCCCTGTGGTTTTCTGCAGAGTAATGCAGATGCTTGTCAGCCATCCACACTGTGAGGTTTGTTGCTGGCAGTGTCTGCTTGACAGTGCTGTTCCTGGTGGGCTGTCTGGTGTTCATTTGCCTTAATGATGTGAGCACTGGGGCCACTGAGCCACCCGGCTGCTGTTGATGGTGCTGCTTGTGTGATGTTCAGCTGAATTGGGTTTGAGCACTGGGACAGCACTTCTCTCTCTGACACTGCCTGATGATTGCTCGATAGCAGCTTCCCTGCTGGCTGTAGGAGCAGACAGTTGCTGCCGGGGCTGCTCTGCTGCTGCTTGTTGCAGGGAAAATGATCCGTGCTGGCAGGTGAGGCAGGGCGATGCAGCAGGGTGCTCTGTGGAGCGTACCTGGTCACGAGCTTGGCTGGGTGCATCACACAGGTATGCAGCCTATTGAAGTGGTGTTTGTGCTGGGAAAAGCAAAAGGGGAGAAAGGAGCCAGGTTTCCCCTCTTACCTTGGCACTGGATGTGTTACTCTTGATGGAGGATGGGCAGGGAAGGCTGGACAGCTGGCTGGGCAGCAGCCAGGCCAGCCACACCTGAAGGGGAGACTGCCCAGCAGTGAGGAGATGTGTCTGGCACTGAGCACTAGAGGAACTGGGGATGCATCCGCATCCTCACCTGAGCTTTGGTCACAGGAGCTTCACCCCACAAATAGGCTTGTCTGGCCTACCTGTTGGATTTGCTGAGATCACTGACACATCTGCCCTGTGAATGGAGTTGATTTTAGTCCCTGTGAATCCCTTTCCCCATTTTCCCTAAAGGAAATGGAGACAAGGAGCCATGGGTACTCGAAGTACAGCCTGACTGACAGTCCTGGTGTGCCAGTCTGCTGACGAGCTCCTGGTGGCACACATGCAAATCTGCTTGTTCCCGCTGCATTTGTGGTGTGGGTTGTAAGAAAAATGCCCGAAATGGTCACCGATTGGAGGGAGGAGTTTGTAGCCCAGAGTTGCAGCCTGACTTGTGAGCACAGTGGGCTGGGTGGCTCTGCAGTTTGCTGCTCCCCAAATCTCAGGGTGTTAACAACTCCTCTGGAATTCTGTGCTGCAGTGCAAGGACACCTCTAGAGAGAGTTTCTCATTGTACATCTGCATCTTAGCAACCGTGTTTACAAGATAGCAGGAAATTGGCAGTAAATATTCTTAAAGTCTATTCTTAAAGGTATCTAGAAGCCATTAAGAGCCTTAATGGCTAGTTATGTCTAAATGCTGTCTTTTTGTACTAGAAGGTGGCTTTGAAAGTGCATCCTGTATTGTGATCTGTGGAACCTGCCTTTAATATGGTGGACATGATACCTGGACATTCCAGGGAAAAGGGATTTCTGTTGCTTCTCCTGTTGGTGGTTGTCCTGTCGAAGTACAAGGGGCTTCAAAACACACCACATCTGGGTCCTTGAGGAGATGTGGGCAAAACCTGTGGTCTGTAGCAGCTAGATGCTCCTATCCACATGTCAGTGCCCTGTCCCAGCTCTGATGTAGGAGGTCTGTGGTACTTCAGGGGAAGAGGTCTGTGACACCCCCGTAGTGATATTTCCTGCTGTATCTTTGTTCCACCTGATCTTGTTCTTGTTGGAGGAAACTATCCTGGCTGGTAAATGCCCTTGCAGGGGGAATTTAAGGACCCTCACCCAGGAGAGCTTGTGTGGCTGCTCCAAGCATCTCCCCTACAGCCTGCATCACTACTTCTGCCCCGTGTGCCTCTGGCCATGGCAGAGTCCTCAGGGGTGGGGGTCCCCTGTGGGACGTTCCCAGGGAGCCAGAGAGGAGGGCAGGGGCCTCTGCCCCTTCTTGCCTGTGTCTCTCCCTGGCCCCTGCTGTTTGGTGGGGGCAGAGAGCTGAGTACGTGCCTTGGTCCCACATTGCTGTCTGGGGAGCCCTGTCCTGCTCTGCAACACAGCAGAGTCACTAGTACATACGAAGAGCGGCTGAAGGAGCTGGGGCTGTTCAGTATGAGGAAGAGGAGGCTGAGGGGAGACCTCATCACTCTCTACAACTACTTGAAAGGACACTGTAGAGAGGTTGGGGCTGGTCTCTTCTCACAGGTAATTAACAATAGAACGAGAGGGAACGGCTTCAAGCTCCAAAAGGGTAGGTTCAGATTGAACATTAGGAAGGAATTCTTCACAGAGAGAGTGGTCGGGCATTGGAACAGGCTGCCCAGGGAGGGGGTGGAGTCACCATCCCTGGCTGTGTTTAAGGGACGTTTAGATGCGGTACTGAGGGATATGGTGTAGGGGAGGACTTTGTAGAGTAGGGTAGATGGTTGGACTCGATGATCCCAAGGGTCTCTTCCAACCTCAATGATTCTATGATTCTATGATTCTACAGCACAGATGTCACCAGCCATGTTCCTCGAGTCCCAGCTACCTCCTGCATCACCCAGATTTTTATCTTGTCCTCATCAAATAACCTAAATGAGTCCTGGGTGCTCTCACAGTGGGGTTGCTGTAATCAGCAGGGCACCCTCACCCTGTTTGTATCAGTGGAGAGACATCGCGGTGATGGTCACACAAGCGAGGGGGGTCACCCTGCTTCTGCTCCATGGGTGCACAGGGAGCCAGAGCGTGTGGTGGTGGGTGCTGTGTGGCTGCCCTCAGCGAGCACCCGTGTCCTGGGGGTGAAGGGGTGGGATGGCGGAGGAGGGGTAAGAAGACTTTGCCCATGGTCAGAGATGGGAATAGAAAGTGTTTTCTCTCAGGCTGGGGTCGCGAGAGCTCTGCTGGCTCCTTGCAAACGCTGGGAAGTGCCGGGACCTGTCGCTATGTAATGTCTGGGGACTAACAGCGGTTTCCTGGCCGCTTTGGGCGCCCTGGCCCCGGACCCCGCCTGCTGCCCGCCGCGGCCCCTCCGTGGTGCGGGGGGGGCGATGACTGGGGGTCGGCTTCGCCGCGCTCCATGGAGGAGCTCGGGCGCGGGGCGGCGGTACCCCTGCGTGTGCGGGGTGGGGGCAGCTGCGCCGGGAGCCGCGGCCTCTAGTGCCAGGAGGGGCGGTGACAGCGGGGGGAGCCCCGCGGCGCGGGGAGGGGGTGTCCGGGGAAGGTGATGCCGCCTTCGGTGCGCGGCACGGGGGGTGGCGCAGCGC